CCACCCACCCACCCACCCACCCCCTTCAAAAACAAAATTGCAAGAACCAGGCCAGTGAAGGACGCTTGAAATCAAGAATCTAGTATGTATGGCTTGCAGGCTATGCTTAGGCCTTAGCTTCGGCTGACTGGGAGCTAACACCGTAAGCCCCGTCAGATTGAATGCTGGACCTGGTTGGAGTCAGCAGACTTCAGAGCAACACTAGCAATTCTGACGAAGCATGAGATCGCTATGGGGCTGCCGAAACAATGCGCCAAAATCTTCCTTCCAGAGGTTCAGGAATATCGTTTGTGCTTTGATCGCACACGACCTCCAAAGATTTTCTGGAGCCGATTTCTCTATGTAAAGGCCTGACACGCGCCTGCTTTGAGGGGCTTTAGGTACGAGTAGCTTCGGCTGAAGGAAGGGGGCGCTTATGTAAGACATCTATGGATGTACCTTTCAAGTTGCAGGGCTTGCCGGCTCTAGAAGCCCCACATCAAGGTCCTACGTGCACGGACACGGAGTTTGGATCGATGCTGGAACCTCGGCACGTGGCTTGCAGCCCTATGCGATTAAGGCCCGAGGCAAAAGGCCCCCAGGACCGGAAGTCTAGACCTGAGAATAAAGGCAGTAGTACTTGTTGCTGTCGTAGTGGTAGCAGTAGCGGCAGTGGCAGTGGTAGTGGCGGCAGTAGTTGTAGCAGTAGTGGTCGTCGTCGTCGTCGTGGTGGTAGTTTCATGTTTTTGGGTTGTTGCTGTTGTTGATGCTGCCGTTGCTGCCGTGAAAGTCCTTCTGCTTGTCCCGAGGCTTGTCCTAGTCCCTGTTTTTGTCGCTGCAATGGTTGTTGTTGTGGTTGTGGTGGGGCATACACTGATATCTGACAACGAGTATACGGCATAGCTTTTGTCCGACACACTGCCACCGATAGAGTCAGCACAACTGTGTCAGCACGACCCACTTCCGAAATGACAACAGGCTAAGTGCATCCCAGGAGCCAATATAAGCATAGCGGGCGACTCCGTTACAGGGTAGGTCGGCCATGCTTCCGCAAGCCCCAAACAGCTTTTCCTAGCTTGGTCGGCTTCATGGTTCGGGGCGCAGAACCGGAGATCATAAACATTCAATGGCGACAGAGCCCGATGCGTTCAGCAACATGCAAGAGTGGGCTGCAGCACATGCCTGCTACAAGTTCACTATGGCTGATGATAAAATATGCAAGCCGAAATCATGTCCTGCGAATGCGCAGGAACACCAAGCAAAAGCTACATCTTACAAGCTCTAGTCGGGGTGCTTCCACTCCCAGTGAGGGTGTGCTGCAGTGTCGGTGGCTCCCTGAATCCAAAACCCATGCTGACTTCATGGCTCTCGTGGCTCAAAAGCCAGCTGCCGGCGCGGACGCGCACAAATGTAAAAGTAGGTTTAGGGTTGGCTGGGACGGGTTAGGGTTTAGGGCTTAGGGGGTTTAGGGGGCTTAGAGGGTTTAGGGTTTAGCTGGGGTTGACGTGGAAGGGTTGGAATTTGGTGTAGGCTTGTGGAGTAATTAGGTGTAGTGTCTCCGTTCTTCAAGGTCAAGAAGAATCCTGCATCTTGATACCAAGACGATGATCACCCAAAGCCCCAGCAGACATCCACATCAGACATGGTGATTCCGGGTTGAGGTTTGCAGGTCACGAGCAACATGAGCTCGCAGTTTCCTAAACCTAAACCACAGAACAAAGCCCTCTGGCACCAACAGATGGTGGTGCCTACGGCGCTCTCGCTTCCAACAGTGCCTGAACCCAGCAAGACCTCACCCGGAAATTCCAGAGTCCCCAACCCAAAACAGTGTGAACACCTTCACAGCAGAAAACAACGCCAAGCAAGCTCTAGGCTCCATTTAGTGGGGCGGGCAGGGGAAAAAAGCGAAAGCCGGAGTGCTACGATACTCCGGTGCTGAAACCGTTGAGGCCAACCCGGTAACGCCCGATCTTGTGTTGATGTATGACGCAAAGCTATACTGAGGGCAGCGCCACGGCCGCCACTATCTGGCCAGGTTGTAGCTTAGGCCTTCATGCAAAAAGAGTTTCGACATGCGCATCCTTTACGGCCGCACTGATCACAACAGTGGCGTACTCTCTTGGGGATCCGACAAGCGATCTGATCCCAGCAAGACAAACATGAACAAATCATGGCTGGAACGTTAGGCGGCTCGGCCTCTAAAAATGCAGCAGCAGGCATGACAATGGTGTGTGCAATCAACCGTTTCAGCAAAACACAATTGTGCCGCACCAAGGCCGTAGCCAGTATAAGCACTCATGCAAGCAACAACGACCCACTATGTTGATTGGGGGTTTCTGAAAATAGGGGACCCTAATATAGTACCTTAAGTAATAGGATCCTTAATATAAGGACCCCAAAATAAGGTACCTCTAACTTTCGGAAACCCCCATTGGCAATTGCCATGGTCACCTTCCGAGCTCTACCCAACAAGCCCCAGCCGAAACCCCTAAACCGCCACCGGCCCTGGGCCCTGAGGAACCACAACAACAACAACAACAACAACAACAACTAGGTGACAATCTCGTAATTTACAACAATGACAATGATGGGTAATGATCTTACTGATAACAATGATATCATTAACATCAATAATGCAACTACCCCTGCATCTCGTAATGGAAGCAAAGGCCAGTTTCGCAAAAACGTGCCTGCAAGCCAACAAACCAGAGCCTGAAGCCCTGCCGGACTAAGCCGCGTGCAAGTGCATCTCTGTTTTGATCTCGCCGGTTGCAGGGTCCTCTGCTCTTTGAGGATTAGGTTCTTGTTGGGATCAGGGTTCGGGGTTTTGACGTAGAAACTGAGGGCTGCAGGGTTTACTTGCAGTGCTGCAGAGTGCCAGGAACGGCAAATAATTCCCTGCACCTCCTAGATGTCGGTGTTTGCTGTCGCAACAACCCTCCATGCCACAATTGGTCACTGACCCTGCCCGTCCGCGTTGCATTGCTACGGTCTCCAAGAACGAAACTCGAAGGCGAATCCACATCTAAGCACTTCAACGCAAGTAAGTCGCATAAGGCCCTCACAGGCCCTCACATCTCCGGCTTGCGGTTGGAGGCTTGAGCTTCAGGAGTCGCTTTACGCTCTAAGGATTTAAGGCTCCCAGCAGGAGTCTCGTCCCTGTCCTGTTCGAAGACCTCCAAGGTGCCATCGCGGATGAGCGTCTGGCATGTCAGCACAGCAACCCGTCAACCAACAGTGGAGAGTGTGCACTACAGCGGACATGCAGACAGCAAAGCCGACGCCCGATATCCGACGCATTGCAGTTATTGAGGGTTTCTTACTCAATCCACCAGGAATGGTGAACAAAAACATGAATTCGAAATAATCTATCCCCACCGGCCCTAGTTCAAGGACCCAATATGCAACTCTCACCGCAATTTCTGCGGCTCGTTTCAGAAGGGGCCTCCTTCCGCCTCTGGAACTCACAAGATTTCAAGCCCCGGGGCAGTAGAGGGCTCCTGGTGCTGCACCACGTGAAACTCAACACTCCCGGCCTCCGAAAGGCCCGCGGCTACATGAGAATTCGAGGAAGAAGCACAGCTTCACAAGACTGACTGTTCCAGTGAAGAACCACAAAAGAACAGCGCACCAAGCACCGAGAATGAAGGTCCGAAACTGAGACTCCAAGAAGGGCATCCGGGACGTCGCGGTATCAAATCTCAAGATCGATATTCAAGGGAGGGAGGGCGCATCAGGGTGTGCCCAATTCCAACGGGAAAACTTGGCAGAGCAGCATCGTACAGCACGTTCCCATCCTCGATGTCCTGCAAGTGAAGTCGTTTGCAAACGCTGGCTGGTGCAGCATGGGCCACCACAGGAAACTCATGGCATGCAGGGCTTTGCCGTTGGGAGATACCTGCGCTGAACATCGGGTGAAGCACGGGGCATCGGAGTCTGATCAAGCTGATCCATGGAGACCCAATTCATGATATGAAGCTTGAAACACATGAACTTATGCTGGGAACTCTGAACATAATGGTCCTGAAAATGCCATTTCACCTCGATCCTGCGGATAACGTCGCCGTTGCCCCATGGAATCTTCCACCTGGCATTGCGCACTGGCCCGCACATGCGGCGTGGAGATCCATCTGATGCATCTCAGCCAGTCTGCATATTCATTATGTTTTTCCCGCTCTACCTGTCGCACCCTTCTGCCCACTCCGTCTGTCTCTCGCGTTTGATCTCCCCCTATTCTCCTCTGTCCCTCGGCGCCAGACAGGGTCGCCCTTGCTGTGGGCCAGTCTGGAACAGAAAGCAGAACCCTGGCTGCACTCAAACCGTCTGAGGCTCCGACCGATTCAGCAGATAAAACTAAGAGAGGGGGCTCTTTTCTTCCTGCCTCTCTACCACTCTCTCTCTCTCTCTCTACCTCTCTCTCTCTCTCTCTCTCTCCCTCTCTTTCTCTGTATCTCACACTTCCTCCGTCGCTCTCTCTCTTCCCCTCTCTCTCCCTCTGTCCGACTCTAGCCCCTCGTCTGTTAAGCAATCCTGCACCAAGTCTGGAAGAACCAGTGAAACTACCACCGTTGCGTTTCGCACCGCGATGTATGCACACCATCCTGGCTTCTACAGACATGATTGTATATACACAGATACAAACTGGCAGGTCAGTCTGTGAATCAGCTCCAGTGTCTGCCGACGGGACTTCCGTATGCTGCCATGCCCTAACACTCACACTTGACGCCCTTAATATAGGGGCCTTAATGATTAGAATAGGGTTTTGGGGTATATTATACTGTAATTATATTAACAAGGAGCTCCCAAAATAGTGTTGGTGATTATCTAGGCCCCTATATTACCTCTGCCCTAACCCAGCAATTCCCGAGTGGCTTCCCCACAGCCTCTGGATCCAGTGATTCTGGAAACATCATGTACAAACACTAGAACCACATCCACGACCTAGCACTTCTTCACAACTTCTATGGCCAACAGGCCCCGAGAGCACTCGAACCTCTCGGATGTTCCCCTTTAAAGATTGGACATTATCTGCAACATGCCGGTTCGGGTCATGCGCAGCCCGAACTTAACGCTTACGCGCTATTGCTACACCACATTGATCGGTCCCCTTCCCGGACCCACTGTAGAGCTCCAAACCCGCCATGGCCACCGCAACGCAATGTTCTGGGCCGAACGATGCTCCACAATACCTCAGCTTCCAGCGCTCTGTCCGCCTACAGGATGACAGAACCCCAGGGCTCCAGTTACCTAAATAGGAGGTTACTAACCATACCTACCAAAACCTACTTTGTAGGTTCTTATGAAAAAAGCCCTACTAGGGAATTTATAGGGATCCTACAAAAATGTAGGTTTTGGTAGGTTAAGGTATATATTATGTACCCCGGTAATGTACTATTTAGGTAACTGGAGGTCTATAGGGAAACCTAGTCAGGTCGGTTCAGGGTTTCCGGCTTCCAGCGTAGGGTAGCAGGGCAAAGGGCTTAGCATGCTCCACGGATGTCCTAAAGGGATACCTTAACCTACCAAAACCTACTTTTTTGTAGGGTCCCTATAAATTCCATATTAGGGTTCATAATAAGAACCTACAAAAATCTAGGTTTTGGTAGGTTAAGGTATAGTGTACCCCCCCGCCCGTAAGTCTGACCCTTAAAACAGCAAAGCCCTGAAGCTTGAAGCGCCTATACAAGGCGCTTGCCACCCTAAACTCTCAAAGCCCTTCAAACCCTAAAGCCCGAAACCTATTTGAACCTGCGCCCGTTTGGCCCCAAACAGTGTCGGCCATGAGCCCCAACCTGATCAGCCGCAAGAGGCCCTTACCCTTTCTTCTCATCTCGGAAACCCTTATCGATTTAGGGCTACTCTCTGGAACCGTCAGCCCCAAATTGAAAGCCTATGCCCCTTTTCGAGCCGTACAGACCATACCGCTCTGAGCCCGGAGCCCTTCGAAACCCTGAAAGTCGCCAATCCTGGAGTTCCGTTTAGGTTAAGCCAGGCCGCCAGCCAAGCGCCGGACCCCCAAAGCTCTAAGACTTAAGCCCTACCCTGAGCCCTAAACCCGAAAGCCTAAGCCCTAAACTCTAAGCCCTAGACCCTATACACCCTAAACTATATGAAACGGAAAGATCATGAGCCGGTGTTTCAAAGAAGCAGCTAAAGGAGCCCTGGAAATCGCATACACTGGGTTTCGTAAGCTAAGGGCTAGCATGTCGGCGACTTCGCAAAGTGAAGTCTCACTCAATTAGAAAGTTTAGGAGTTTATGAAAGTATGAAACGTTTCAAAGGTGCTGGGAGCTTTACATTCGGCTTTTGCAGTCTCGAACGTGTTGTGTTAAGTTTTTGGAAGGCTCTATTTGCGCGTCTGTGAGATACTGAACTCGGGGCCACGCTACTCCTTGAAACACGCCAGAAATACCGCTGGCCCCAACAAAAACTGAACCCCTACCTGTACTCTAAAACACCTACCTTATGAAGATTGCCATTTAAAAACCCTTGACTTGACGAGGTACCCCTAAACACCTATACCCTAAACCCCAAACCCTAAACGACCAACCCTAAACCCTAAACCCCTAAACCGTAATTCTAGGCTCCTAAGCTGCAGCCCTCTCTCTCCGCAACTCGGATTCCTGCTTTCCACGGGCTCCATTCGGGGCGGCGTGGTTGCCATGGTCTTGATCCTAGCATCCATGGAACCAGAAACCTTAATGTAGGGGCCTTAATAACCAGAATAGGGTTTGGGGATGTATTACTAACTATAATAAGGTTGGGGGGTATGAAAATAGTAAGGAACCCTGAGGAATAGCAGTTATGGGGCTTCTTTTTGTTTGACACCCCTTTTCTCCCGCCCTGTTAGGCTGGTTGATTGGGCTTCTATCGTATATAGGGCTTTCTCATGCGAACATGACTCTTCAGGGTCTCGTGTCAGCTCTCTAGCAATTAAGAGTTTTGGAGTCTCTGTAGCACCTGCTGGGTTCCACGGAAACTGGGCCTTCGAGACGTAATTGGAGCTCATGGCTTAGGACTCAGGGGTTTTAAAGTCTACGAGGTTTAGGGTTCAGGAGTTTGGGGTTGAATTCTGGGCTTACGAGTTAAGGGAGTTGGACATCACTCTGGCACGCGATATCCCTCCAAAGTACCTACGCCGGTCGCACAATGATGCCAAGGCTCTGCGACAAGAAGCAGTCGAACACAGCAACAAGCTCCAGAAATCTTCACTTCCGCCCGGCAGGACACCTTTTGAAACCGGACTTGAACCCTAAACCCTAAACCCTTTTAGGCTGAAGCTCCAAATTCCACCAGCGGATCCGAAACTGCCGATCCCACGGGCGCAGCTGAGGTCCGGACTCAGACTTTAAGCCTGCGCAGGGACTTCCACAATAAGCCAGGGAACTAAAAGGTTAGACTTTCAGGTTGCTGCTAAGTTGTAAGATCCCCGAAAGTTTATAAAAGGTTTGGTATTGGGGAACTAAGGGGATCTTTCTTGTTTTGAACCTTCGGATCTCCAGGGTCTTACCCGAGGCCCTGCGAAGGGCCCGAAGCTGAAGTGCTGGACCCTAAGCCGGGAGTCCTTCTCGATGTCTGAGTCTGCATTCACGAAAGCTCTAGGCTGCTGCCCCTGATCTGCACGGCAACCTTTTTGTCTTTGATGCTTTTTGGCCTCATAGTGTAGGGTTGGTATACCATAGCAGTTGTGCGCCAATATCTGGGGCGACAAGGCGTCCGTGCGAACAAGCATCATGAGGCCCCGGCACTGTGTCCAATCTGCCATGCCCATTCGGTTGCAGGAGCGTGCCTCAGCGGTTTAGGGTTTAGGGTTTAGGGTGCAGGGGCATGCGCAAGACAAGAGGTCCAAAGCACTGGGTAAACCCCAACACATGCCGCGCCCGAACCTTGCAAGAACTGGATTTGGTCACAGCAAGAAGCCGGAGAAAAATCTTGCAACCGGTTTAGGGTTTAGGGTTTAGGGTTTAGGGTTTTACACTACACTTCCTAAACCCTCCATCGTGCGCTAGGCACCCACTAATCAGCAGCGGCCATGTGGGTTACCAGGAGGTTCCTGAAAAAACTCTGCTGCCAGTAACCATGCCTGCTGACAAAGCTACCCGCATCTCAACAGCTGATACACGTACCGGTGGTTCGGACAGATTGACTTCTTACTGGACTTTCAGCACGGTCCCTAGAATTGAAAAAAGGCATTCACAGTTCTGCTGAACATTTCCGAACCAAACCAAAATAGAGGTGGTTCAACCTCAGTTTATGCTCAAGACTCCCTAGATGATCAGTGCATTGGTGCATTTCCAACTGCGTCTTCGAAGTCTCAAACACATGCAGCTGTCACGTCACGCGGCATCAAGCCCAGAACATGCGCCCGCCGAAAACCCCAAACACCCTAGCCCGCAAACTGTAAACCCCGTAAACCCACCAAGGCGGAAGCCATGATGTAGTAGGACTTGCCAGGGATGAGGCTGGGAACCATGCAATAGAAGCCTGACCGAGTATCGCCATGTCAAGCGCGCTGCTCGCAGCTAAGTTCGTTTTTGAACATACAACTTCTCTTTCTTTGCCTATGTGAGCTTCTGACCGGATCCCGAAACTCAGCACAGGAAAACCCTACTGCTTGCATTAACGAGCATCTTACCAAGTCACTGGGGCGTCACGATCTAAGCTTCAACTTCCGCGCTGGAAGGTCTATATAAATCTGTGTGAGTCTGACAAGGTCACGGCGATGGCGAGAATTGTGATATGGGCCGTTCTAGTTAGCTACTGTTCAGCCAACTTTCCAGCCGTAGCAGCATCCGGGATTGTGTTTTCTCGGATGTCTACTACCTTCTTGCACAGGCTTACGCAGAAGAGTCCAGCTCTACTGACAGAGACAAGTCGACATGGATCACATGCCGCTTTTGCGGTCCTTTTGCGTCCCATGTGCTGAAGCTACGGTAAAAGCGATGCCCATACTTCGTTCACTTCGGCTCTTGAGGCAAGCAATTTCGGAGCAAAGCCGTCAGGCAAGTGCAGGACGCTTCTCGAGATCGACCCTATGTACCCTTACTCCTGAGACCACGGCCATCATACCTGGTTCCCGACTGACCGCGCTGGACGGCCTCAACGAGTGGCCAAGGAAGCTCCCAGTTTGCCTTAACTCGAGACTAGGCCTTGAAGTCGGGCCCCATGCTGAACCTTGACTGTCTAGGGCTCCTGATTCTGATCTTTGGGAGATTTCCGTGTTTGGGAGCTGTAGCTTGACATGGGTGTATATGGGCTTCCCAGCCGATGTTGAATTCGGGTTCCAACCGGCGTGCATGGGTGGGGGTTTGGGTTTACTGCACATAGGCTGCAGTGCAGTCGTTCGCAAACGGAGTATCTGTACATGAATTGAACAGGACGTCGAGTATGCACATTCCACTACTCGCCACAACCCCGTAATGCCTCAAACTCCTACGTTTGTGAAGGTCTCTTTGCTGGAGCCCATACTTCCCAACTCTGTGAGGGAAGGCCTGTACTAGGAATGAAGTTGGGAGCATGCCTTGTTTTAGTCAGAAAAGAGAGCCAAGGCATATAATATAGGGGCCTTAATAACTAGATGTGAAAGTGATGGAGTGTGATGCGTGTTTGCATGCTTTTGATTGTGCAGGCATGAGATGCTCCTTCTCGGCAGAAGCCAGCAGAGCGCACTCCACAACATTTGTACTGTACAGCTTGCAGTAATCCTCTTAAATGAGTAGTGATGAAGCAAGACTTAACGTTGTGTCTGTGTGAAAAATAAAGCCGTCCCAATTCGTTCACGGCACTGGAAAGTTGACGACGCACATCGTTGTGTGCACAGTGTCATAGTGAAGCTCAGTCTTCTACAGGTTATGAGCGCCCAAGGTGGAGATCGAGGGCAAAGACCAGTGTTGGAAGGAGAGACAGCTGGACCGGTTTATGGCGCAGTGGATGGTGGAAATATTCCGAATGGTGTGATGCCTGTCAACCCGAACACGGGTCGACAGGACTCACAGCAAGCTGCAGCGATGGATGCCGCTCGGACAGGCGTTTCTGGAAGGACAGATGATGTACCAACCGGATCGGGCGCGAATACCGGACAGGGAACGACGCGAGCGGACGTTACGACAGCTGCAACGGAAGACCATCCTACAAGCACAACCGATGCAAAGCAGCGTCTCCAGCACTCTTCTCAGCCTTCGACTCAGGAACCTGCGCAGACTTCGCGACTTCAAGAACCACCAGGTGATCTATCGGATATGGCTGCAAGGCCTACCACTACCGGTCACGGTCTGCCGCAACAGCTACAGACTGCCGTACAGCAACTGTCCCAGCAGAGAGCTTCGGTGGTACAAGCAGTACAAGCTAGGGCTACTCGGGCACTACAAGGAGTACAAGGAACCCCTCCAACTGCACCCCAACAAGCCTCAGGATCGATCACGGCAGCCTCAGGAGACGATGGACCTCGGCAGGGACTGTGGTCAGTTACGAGGATCAGTGAGGTCCTACATCGCCGTGTGGTTGCACCAGTGATGAGTCAGGTTACAGGGCAAGCAGACAACAATGAGAGGGAGTTTCATACCTTGCAATCTCCATGGCAGACGCCCAATCCGAGCCCTATGACTGCGCACACCCCCCTGATGAGCCCTGAAGTGAGACAAGCAATGGCGGAATGGACCTCAAGACCATCGGCTATAACATCAAGGCCTCCAGGTGGAGCTCGAGATGACAGCTCTTCGGCAAGTTTGTCACAAGAGCAGATCATGGAAGAAGTGAAAAAACAAGTACAGTTGGCCATGACGGGTCGGGACACCGAGGTCAAGGAGTTGCGCAACGAGAATAATGAGCTGAGACAAGCCTTGGAAACATCGGCACAGCTGCTAAATGAAATGGTGGCTGCTGGAGGAAGCAGTGGCCCAGGGCAAACGCCCCATGAGGCTCGCGGAGGGCATCCAGGCAATGAACTTGGCGGCCAACCTCGCAGTGATGGGCAAGGTCCTTGGGAACCACGAGAAGCTCCTCCAGGATTTAGTGGAAGTGGTGGAGTATCTGAAGGCAATCCTCTTGCTTGGGGCAAGGCAGCGGCGCCTACTACAGGAGCGGTGGGAGGACTTTCAGATCGACTGCTTGGTCGAGGAGGCAGTCCGGCACGAACGGAACCTAGTGGAACAGCTGCGGTTCCTCAGTTCGGACCTCTGGGCGATCGGCAGTCGCGTGAGACTCCGAGTGTTGATGAAGGCTCACCGTTGGGCATTCTTGTCCAAGGAATGAGACAACTTCAGCAGGTGTACATGGAGAAGAAGGGCGGCGTCGACAACGAAGCGCTGAAGAGCGCAGAGCTACCCGCTCTTCCAGAGCTCAGTGGTGACACGGGAGTTGAGTTTAGTGACTGGTTGTATGTGGCCGAGCAGACCATCGGAGCCATGTCAGACTCAGCGTCCATCTGGTATGAGAAGACTATGGCATGTGTGAGGGAAGCCTACGCCAGATACCAGGTGGCCTCGCCGCTGGAACGATTGTCCATTGGACCGCGGTCAGCTCCAGAACTACTTGAGCCTCGATGGGTTCGGCTAGATCGCAAGGTCATGACTTTGATTTTGGCGGCGATGCCAAAGATGGTGCGCGAAGATGCAGTAACGCACAGGGTGTCTTCGGTGGCTGCAGTTCTCTACCGGTTGCACATTCTGTACTCCCCGGGGGGCATGGCTGAAAGAACTACGGTGTTGAAGCAGTTGGAGGGTGCTGGGGCGGGCGACAATGTGGTCGATGTCATCACTGCGCTGAGAAAGTGGAAGCGTCATTTGTCGAGATCCCAGGAGACGCACCTTTCCGTGCCGGACGCCAGCATTCTTCTTCGAGGCCTGGACACTATATGCGCCAGCTGTATCCAAAAGCACCCCGAAATGAGCTTCAGACTCTCTTTGGCCCGGAACGAGCTACAGCTGCAAAGCAGGCCAACTCAGGAGACGGTGATGAAGTTCTACGACCACCTGATGGCAGAGCTGCAGCAGGTTCTTCCTGCCAAGTGGGTTCAAAGGGGGACATCGGGCACAGGGGAGACTCCGAAGATTAAGGCAATCGGAGCTGGCACTGGTGAAGCCTCCACTACAACGAGCCCGACAGCGTCGCCTCCAAGGTCTTCTCAAAGGGGGTCGGCGTCATCTACAACGTGCAAGTTCTTCATCTCGGACGCGGGCTGCAAACGTGGACAAGCCTGCAAATACCAGCACGAGTTTCAGAGCAGAGACGAAAAGCGCTCCAGATGTTGGCACTGCGGCTCCAAGCAGCACCGACAAAATGAATGTCCGGCGAAGGAGCCTCGGCGACCTAAGGATTCGTCAGCGTCTTCGACTCCCACGGCAAGACCTCAGTCTACACCAGCAGTGGCGGCGGTGCAACCTGTGATTGAGCCGAAAGCATCCAGGCCCTTGGTGGCGGGAACTGTATCCTCTATCCCTACTACCGCTGGGAGTGGTGATGGTATGGGGGTAACTGAGTCTTTGGGGGCTACTACCAATGCGGCTGTTCAAGGTCCAGAGTTCCAAGCTTTCATGAAGGAAGTCAACACTATGCTGCAACGAATGTCCAGGCTCAGCAGTTTGAAGATTGCGGAGTCCCTGGATCCCGAGGTGAACAGGATGGAGGCAACGATGGCTAAGTTTGATGAGAAGACGGAAGCCTATGCGCTCCTGGATTCGGGAGCTACTCATCCTTTCAAACCATTCGCTGAGCAGGACTTCACGGAGATGGTACAGGTGCAGTTGGCCGACGGTCAAACAGTGGACTCGCAGCAGAATCGTGCGGGTACATTGATGCCAGTGAAGAGTGCAGGAAGCAAGGGCAACCCCGTCACCACAATTGTGCCCCTGGGCACATTAGTTCAGGAACTCAACTGCACGGTTTCGTGGGACAGACATGGCCTTCGCGTTCAACATCCAGAACATGGAGAGCTCACCACCCATGTGGTTGGTTCGTGCCCCTTCATTGGAGAAACAAAGGCCTTGCAGCTCATCGAGGAGATCGAGGCTAGAAAGCTCGAGCAGCTGAAGGTGAACACTGTTGAAACGCAGCTGCGCGTCATGGGCATGGAGGCTGAGACCTCGTTTGAGCCGTCCTTGATGGAGTACAGAAGGTCTGGAAAGAGAACAGATGGCTTGAAGGCCCTGATGTCCTCGGACTCAGTGTTTCATCACATTACTGAGTCACAACGCTGTGCACTTGTTCAGGACATTGACTTGACGGATGCAGCCGGCATGAAGTATTTGAAGGCCCTCCCCATCAAGAGAGCGTTGAGGAGGAGATTGCTGTCCGCTAGATGGATTGTGAACATGTGTTCGGGACCAGATGAACACCCGGACCTCAAGGCTCTTGAATCGGATGGCTTGGTGCTGTTGGAGTTGGACCTGTTCAAGAGCAAGGCGTTTAATCTACGAGACCATGGTCCAGCTTATCGTGTGCTCTTATGGGCGGCGATGAGAGGGCAGCTGGAAGGGATCCTTGGAAGTCCACCCAGAGGTGAAGGCGAAGGCGAATTGGTGCTCAAGCAGTTGTTTCTGTGGTGGATTGGCAAGGTAGCCTCGGAAACCATCGAGAAACGGGATCCTTACTTTGTGATGACGATGCCGGTGAACAGCGCTGTTTGGCTTTCGCCTATTTGGCCAAGAATCCGTGCGCTACGTGGAGGGCTCCGATGGATCTCGGTTGGGGCACTGAGGTGCGTCACGAATCTGGCGACCACATGGCCAGTGGAGGAATGGGAAGTTATGACTGGGAAGGGACAACTTCAATGGACCAATGACTTCAGACGCTGTTTGGTTCAAGGAGTGCATCGATGGCGAAACTCAATTACGATGTGCAAGATGGATGGACCTCTTTCACAAATTTGTCAAAGGAGGAGCTCAACAAGTGGACTCAGCATGTACGTCAAGGCCACATCCCTTACAACAGGCGTTGTCGAACATGTGTGGAAACCAAGGCGCTTGGTCACTCCCATCGTAGAGTACAAGCCCCTTCGTGTTTTACGCTTTCGGTGGATGTTTGTGGCCCTTTTCGTGTAAAGGGCCAAGCGCCCGGAGCACTCGACTACCGGTACATGTTGGTGGGGTCGTACACTATGCCGCTCCTGAAGAAAGAACCTTCTCCTTCCGAGGATGTGATCGTGAATGCACCAGAAGGAGGAGTAGGTGATATTGATGCGCCTCTACCAGAAGGTGCCCCATCCAGATCCCAGTGGTCCTCTACCAGAAGGTGGCCCAGAACCAACAGATGATCCAGATCCCAGTGGTCCTTTACGGTTTGAAGTCCCAGATCCAGACATGGAAGACCTATTTGAGGTGAGTGGTGAAGATCCTATACCTCAGGTGGGCGACCTTGAAAGGGAAGAGATGGATGCCTTGAACGCCCAGTACAACGAGCTTGTGGCTGAGGTGGGTGACACGATGGACTATCAAGTTCTTCGATATGCAGTACCAATGCGGTCTAGAAGGGCTTCAGAGGTGAATGCTCGAGTGCGTCAAATGTACCTGCAGGTGAGGGCCGATGGATTGGAAGTGTTTCGTCTACACTCCGATAGAGCGACCGAGTTGTGCAATCGTCGACTACGCGAATGGCTGTTGGAGCGTGGAGTCTTGGCCACCACCGGAGAAGCCCAAACGCCCCAACAAAATGGGCGTGCCGAGGCCACAGTGAAGTTCGTGAAGTCTGAGGCTCGTCTCCTTATGACTACAGCAACACTGCCCAAGTCTACATGGCCCTTAGCAATGATGTATGCCACCGCCCGACAAAGGCAGCGCGCTTTAGGGAGACCTGATGAACTTCCTGGATTTGGGACTCCTGTACACGTCCGCACTAAGATATACGGCCAATCCGGAAAGTACGATGTGGAAAACAAGTGGGCTCAGGGCGTTTACGTGGGGCCGTCGGAGGATGTGCAACATGGCCACGTGGTCCGGTTCCCAGGCGCAACCTTTGTTACCAGTCTACATCTCAAGCATAATTTGGTGGATGCTGATGAGTTGGTGGATTTGGTCCCGAGGGAAATTGAGATCCCGCTGCCGGAGCGGAGGATTCGAGGAAAGAAGCGACTACATCGGCTTCTAGTGGACCACCCTTTGAGCGTTGAGGAGGAGTTGGCAGAGACTGTGGCAAAGGAGCTCATCCGGAGCAAGGATTGGTCTGTGGAAGGGATCCTGAGACTCTTTGACTACCTGAAGGCAATCAAACCGAAGCAGCCCAGTGGGAGAGCAGCAACTGCGACGGGTTGTTCGTGGTACACCGGCATGTTTGTGCATGGAGGTGTGGTAGGACTACGGGGTGCTACTACGCGGATGAAGTGGTCAACGAAGTATTTGGTGGAAGCGGCCAAGCTGATCACGGAAAATGATGATTTTACGGCTATCGGGCTGCTCGAGGACATGGACAATGGGTGCCACAAGGACTCACACAATGAGATCGATAGCACCAATGTGGTAACGTTGTTACAGGCTCCGAAAGAAGGAGGCGATCTTTGGCTGGAGCACGAAGACATCGACCCCAAGTACGCGGAATGGAAGCTGGTGGCTAAGAAGCTGTGGAAGAAGGGATTTACACACCGGCTAGAAGTTGGCAAGCCCTTCAGGTTTCCACCGCGACGATGGCACGAGGTACAACCCCGGTCTGGAAAGCGTGTAGTGATGGTTCTGTATACCCCGAGGATCAACAAGCTGCACTACAAGGACCGGGATATGTTACAGTTCGTGGGGTTTCAGAGTGCGTGCTTCAACGTGATCCACAACAATGGCCCGCAGTCAGAGAGCCACGTGATCCA